GATATAGATTGTGGAGGAAAGACAATCAGCTCAGTTTTAGATATAATGAACTTGAAATATGTGCAGACTGTCTAAGTGGATACACCCAGGAGGAAATTGACGATATAGATCTGAATGTGTGGCAAGAACTCTGAATTGGAGGTGTAGATTTGGGAGATATAAGCATAAAGATAGTACAAGCATACCGTGGAGATATTGGGAATTCAGTTCCAGTCCATCTTAATAGAGTATCTCAATAAATCAAGTTGTAATCTTTTTGCTGGTGGAGGGTCTCTCCCTCAATTTGTAAAAAACACATCTGTGAGGCTCAATAAAGTGGAGCGCAAACAAATGAGGTATGCCTACTGTTAAAATTTGCATATCTGACTATCTAAGACTCAAAGAGTGTGTTTGGGACCAATATGAAAAACATGTGAGAGGCTCAAAAAAGAAAAGAGGCCTGTTATGGCCTCCATGCCACCAAATATCTTCCCACTAAGCAGTCAGTGTCTGAAATTGCCATTGTTGTGATTTATTCCTTTAGGTTAAGGTTGTAGCTCTAAGTAATTGCCTCTTAAAAATACCTTCGGGAGAAATAAAACAGACAACAGGGTAGCTTGATGAAGAGAACTGAGCTAGGTATCCAGAGATCAGTTTCTAGCACTGCCTTAGCCACTGACTGCCCAGATGATGTTCAGCAAGTTGCTTTGCCTTAGTTCCTCTTGTGGCAATTGAGGAAGTAAGACCAGGCGAACTTCAGTGTTTAGTAGACTGTGATTCAACCAATATTATGTCTCATCGGAGTTTAGTTCAGTGATTTTCAAACTTATTTAGCAGCAGTCAGCCTTCTTTGAAAGAACTTTCATGCAGAAACAGTGTTATTAGGATGTTTTGGTTGCAGGGGTCTAACTCAAATTAGTTTAGATGTAGAAGCGAACTTACTAGTTAATTTATACTATGTGAAAAGGTGCAGCTAGACCCAATGATGACTAGAACATGAGACTGCTGCATCACCAGGACTTGCTCTCTTTGCTCCTCACTTCTGGGTGATGGCTTCATTCTACAAGGCAGTATGTGGCTGCTGGCCACTCTCAAGACTTCCTTTTTCCCTCCTTCTTGTCTCAGACTGCCATATGATGGAACCGCCCTTTTCCCCTTTCTTTCCTGAAAACATTCTGGGAAAGAACGCTTCTTGCTTTGGCCTGAGTCATATTGCCACCCTGCAGCCAAGAAGTTGGGGGACTTTCTTGAGCTGTAGCTGGCACTAGACTCACATGTTTATAGTACAGGCAGAAATAGTTTTCCCAAAGAAAAGAAGCATTGCTCACAGAAAAATGAAAGTTACCAGGCAGACAAACAGATGGTCAATATGTAAAACATAAAAACAGAGGCTTTTCAAATTGAGGTTCCACCTATTCAGTCACCTCTGTGTACCCTAGGTGGTTTCTGAAGCATACCTTTGAAGATCCCATGAGGATCCTTGGAATATGGCATTAAATAATTGATTTTATTGATAGGATAGCACGCCAAGTGCCTGCAAGTCCTTGACAAATTGAAGCACTAGATATTTATTCATGGTGGTGGTGGTGCATTAACCGAGTAGAACATTTCTGGAATATAAGGAAGTGCTAGAAAGAGTGGTGCTGATGTTGATGGAGTTGGGGTAGAGATTCTGAATATTCAGGGATCCAGAGACTTGAGACAGAGAGTGTAGAAAGAGTAGGCAGGAGGGCACCAAGATGAACTTGGCCTACTTAGCCATCTTATCTAGGACTATGTATCGTATGGCACACTAATAATGGTGGGAAATGTTCATATTTGGCTAAGGTAGTGAGATGGCCCTTGGTGTCACTCAGAGCTATTCTAGAGAAAGGAACAAAGAGAAGGTTGGTGGAAAGAGAGTTGATGGACCTGGAAAGGAACAGAGGAGATGAATGAAGTCTCCTTTCTTGGAAAAATATACCCATGGTAGGTGGTATCTTAAAAAAAATGGGGATAAACATGGGGATAAAATAAAGTAATGGGGATACAGGGAGAGGGAGGAAGAGGAATAAGATGAGCAAAAGATTAGAAGATGGAGAGGAGCGTAGTTCAGTAAAAGGTAGAATATAGTGTAGAAGCCTTGTCAGGAAGTCTGGGATGTAAAAATTCCACATAATTTTGACTACTTGTTCAAAAGTTGTACTAATGAATATCACATAAATTACATTTAATTACTTTACTAATTATACCTTACTGAATAATTTAAATGTGACACTTCCTGAAAAGCTATGTTGCTATTAATACAAAAGTGTATATTGAAATCAGTAAAATCAAATTTAATTGATTCTTTATCAAAGAGTAATAATGTTCTTAAAATTGTTTTAAATCTTTGCTTTTTGAGCAAGTTAGTCAAAGGAATTTCAGAAAACAAAGAAATATAATTATAAGGAATCTTACAGATCTTGCTACCTGTGCTACCAACGGAAAAACATGGAGAGATCAGATTTACTCAGATCAAATATCAATTGCTAATCTGGAAAAGACACAGGTCACTAGAACATGAACTACTTTTTTTTTTTTTTTAATTCAGAAGGAATCAACCAATTCTGTAATAATACAAATAAAAACATAAGTGTCATTACAGAACAAATTGTACCTACACAGCAGTGCTATTAAACCAATTTGGTCAAAAAGGCCTTACTTAAGCCAGAAGTTTTCACTTGGATAAATCATTTCTTTAAAGAGATATTTTCATATTGTGTTCTTCTTTTTAATCTTACTTAAAAATTACAACATCTGACAAACATGAAAAATTCCTATGAAATATGAAAAGGTTAAAATTTTGTTGCAAACATTGATTTACAAAAAACTGCTTTTAAAAAATGGCTTGTTACTCTTTTGTTGGAATGTCTTTTGAATTGAGTCTTAGGAGAAAGGTTTTGGTTTTACATCAATGAAGATTTAATTTCTCAGCATTTTCACAGTGCCAAAAACTATTTGAAAATTATTATTTCTCTAATCCCAATCTCACTGCAAATGTGATGTAGTCATAATATGTAAAAGTATTGCTTTCCTTTTGTTTTTAGTGAGTCAATTCATTTGCTCTGTGTTGCATAGCAAACATCCCTGAGAATACAGATTGTTTAAATTTAACCTGCATTCAATTGACCTTTTATAATAAAAATCCTCTATTCTTAACTCTGAATGTCACAATTACAATTATTCAATGAATTGTGACTCATTTAGTATTTAAAACTTAAAGGTCAAAAATGAAGAGCCCTTATATAAACCTGAGTTTCTGGACCAGCAAACCTTGCCATTTATTAGTACTTAATATCCACAAAGGCTCTCCACTTTTTCCTCACTGCAGGCGCTACTGCTGTAAAAGTGGCAGGTATCATATTGCTCAAGTGAAAATGCCATTGCCATCAGTCTTATCCTCCTGGACATTGTTGTGACTATTAATTTTGTTACTTTTCATACTTTCATCTCTGGTTTGTCTTGTGAGAATTTCCTGTTTATGTGTCTGCTTCCCCTATGACTGTGAGCTAGGCACTACATATGCTTATCTTTGATGCTAAATACAATGTCTGGACCATAATACACCCTCCAGAGATGTTTATTGTATATGAATGGCTAGGAATTTATAGCTATAGGTATTTGCAGGTTATATCTGTGAGAATATCCTATCATCTGATTCATATTTTCCAGGTGTTTATTTCCCTCTTTTCTTCAATATTTGGTAGTATTTCTCCTTGGGAAAGAGTGTGTGGCAAGGAGAAATGCTGTGGCAAGATGCCATTGAGGCAGGTTTACTATTCTGGGTTCTTGAAGTGACTTGTTTGGCTTTGTTGCTTACAAAGCCAAAGATAATTATTCATTTTATGTCAGCCTAGACTCAAGAGTGGGACTTCTTCCAGGATTAAAGCCATTTTGACGCCTATTACACAGTATGGGGGGGGGGGG